TTTTACTCCAAAAGCTCGTGCGTAGGCTTCCATTAAATGCTGATTATCTCGAAAACGAGCTCGGGACACCCCATTTTTCTTTCCAGATTTGGAATCAGCATTAAATTTCAATTCGGAAAATCGAAGTTTTAAAAAAAGCTTAAATCAATTTCCAAAAGTAGGCAGTCACCTTAAGCTTTTGCAAGCCAGCACATTTTCCCATACAAATCCTTCGATTTCATATCTACAGCGGTAATGCAATTTTTCCTGTTTTGCTGGTTGAGTTCAACTCCACCTCCCTACTATTGTTGAGGTGCTCTTTTCATTTCTGTTATTTATTTTGACACAACTCTTTACTTAAGGGAGGTGAGGTCACGTGAACTATCAGTGCAAGCCATTCATGTTATTTTTTTGTCATTATAAAATGCCTGTTGGCATCTGATGGTGCAAAGCCTCTATTTACCATCATACCTCATCACTGCATTTCATCCCTTCATCAAACAAGTCCCCAAGCACGAACACAACATCTGGTTCAAATATAGTTATCGCTGTTTGAAAAGCTCTCTCCATCTGCCACTCTCTTCTAAGCTTGTCGAACCAGTGACCATCTTCAGATCCAAGTAGGTGGGTGTCTGTCAAAAACATGGCTCTCAGAGGATCTACACCCCATTTCTTTCCTTCTGGACTGAGCTCTGGCCATGAGCACTGGTATATAACTACGTAGTACACTATCCATTCACAAAATACGAATACTAGGGCAGTGAAAAGTGCAAGAAATTTCAACTTTCTGGGAATCATTTTCTTTCACCATTTCGTTCCTTTTACCACGACTTCTCGCCAGACTTGCATCCTTTTTATGACTTCTTTAGGGATAGTTACATTAGAATCAATGTTTTATGCTTTTCTGCTGAGAGTTTTTCGTGTTTCCATATCTGCAAAGCAATAAAAAAGCACTCAGAGATACAACACACAACTTGTTGAATATTCCATATTTCCACCGCCTTTTTTGTATCTTCAAACGCGACAAAAATTACATCAACATTATTTGTACAGAAAATTCAAATACTTAGGACTGAACTTCTTCGTCTTAAACTTGCCTTATCCGTTTAGTTTTGGGCTTTTTCTCTCGGGGTTTTTAGGCGTCTACTGTCCCCGCAATGACAGACACCATCTTGCTTCTAGGTTGCTATACACAGGAAGCCCAATTTAAACACAGGTATCCCAAATACCACATTTTGCTATTGATCTATTTATTAAACCGTTGATTTCTTTTAAATCTGTTATACTTAATTTATTTAATTACATCAATGTAACTTTGAAGTACAAATAAAATTGATTGATTTCTTTTCATTTTTTTTTTTTATAGCTCACCGAGTTCCTTTGTTATTCTTTCTTCCAAAAAAGCATAAGAATGAATAAAAGGGAGTGGTGATTGTCCAGAGGATAGGACTTATCCCTCCCTACCCCTAGCTCCAATTAACGAGTTCTTCTATATATTTGGATGCTCAGTAGATGGACTGAGGTGAATCAAGGTGGCACTACCAAGTGGAAGAAGAGCCACTCTGTGGAATCCCATTATTTGAAATCGTTCCGTAAACCTGCAGCTTTCTGATTTGCTGCAACACTGTAAAATGCCAAATTACTTGAAATTGATTTTGCAATCATTTGTGAAGGAAAAAACCCAAAGAAAAAACCGTTGAAGCACAGGAGAGAACCAACAAACAACTATATTCACTTAAGACAATGGGTCCATTAAGACTTGGGCACAGGTCACCTTGGCAAGAGGCAAGCACTTTCACTGCTACACCATCAATGATTCCCAAGAGAGTAGTGCAGTAACATCCTCCATCCAAACACATAATATTATGTACACAAAAATATGGAGGCCAACACTAGAGTGCTCATGCTAAATTCGTGAAACAAATACTAATTTTTAGCACTAAATAGTGATAATTAAACAATAGAAAACAAAGGATTCAGTATGAAATAGTACTAATTAGTGCTATTTAATGTTCACGGTTTTAGTGCGTGCACTCTACTCAAGAGGAGTAGAAGTCACAAGGTTCATCACTCTGATTCATTTTTATTGCTGTTTTATAGTTTCTTATCAACAATCAACCATTACAATTAAGCCCCTAAAAGTCTGTTCACACAATGATCCATCTTGCTGTAGCTATAGTCAAATCAGCTTGCAAAATTCATAACTGCAGAGAAGTTAAGGAATTTGGTTAAATTCCTAATTAATATCTGTAATGGTCAGGTTTAAATGGACCACTTGGGCTTATCCCTAGGTATCCTGCCTGCTTGTCATCTAGTTTGGTAAGCTTAACTCCAAGATGATCGAGGTGAAGAGATGCAACTTTTTCATCGAGCTAAAGAAAGAAAAGAAGTTAAAATTCAAAAAATGTTTGTATCATATTTTTTTTGAGATAAATGGCTTCCTTTAACGAGCCATAGTCAAGTGCTTCTCACACTTCTTGAGTGCTTACGGCACTTCCTAAGTGCTTTATTACTGGAAGGAGCAGGGAAAAAGCTGTTTCATTTATTTTATCATATAGTAACTAATTTTATTTCGGTGTTGAATTCATTTACGCAAAAAGAAAAACGGTGGCGCTTTATATTATTATTAATATTAAAACTAAGAATACCACCAATTTCTCCCAAGACTGTATACTTGAATAAACTTACCGCCTTTGGCAACATATAGACGCCAATGGGATATTTGTCCTTTTTAGTCCATAGATCAATTTGAGCCAGGACTTGGTTTGTGAAGGAGTTACTCATGACAAAGCTGGGATGTCCCATGGCACATCCAAGGTTAACAAGACGACCTTCAGCTAGAAGAATAACATGTCGTCCATTTGGTAATGTGTACCTATCAACCTGAAAACAAAATCATATCCACATTACTGATGTGGTATTATCACCAGCAAACAATAATCTGAGTGAATAATCTTGATCACTCGTGAAGCCAGTAGCTCTCATGGCTATGATACAGGGTAGATTTTTCCCTTTTTCAGCCTTTTTAATAGACCTAATTCGCTGCGGTGCAATCTTTACGGGCCATATGTTAATCCCTTAAGAATATAGAAAAGCTGGCAGTCGCTGGATATTTTACATGAACTTGCTGCCTATTTTTATTAAAGTGCCTATCACCCTTCTGACAATATTCTCAGTATTGATTCTACATGGGGTAAGAAGTTGAATAACCCGGAAAAAAATTATATAGTTTGAGTGCGGCTTCTTGAACTTATGAAGGTTTTTCCATGCCATATGCTAATGCTGTATTAATGTAAATATTGTCAGAAGGGTGATAAGCACTTTAAAGTTCCCCAAAATGTAGGGAAAAAGTGAGAAAGATTTGCTCATGGCTCCATTCATTGTTTTGCCACTTACTCAAGCTGGTATTGAAAACCCTGAGAATAAGAGTGTTTGTTTGAGTTGTATCCATATTCATGTGTAATTATTAAACAAAGAAATGACACTCTAGGGAATGACATGTGGTCTGTCACGGGATTCAAACACTGCATCACCACAAATAAGGGCTATTTTAAAATAAACTAAAATAAACTGTTTTTCCTGACCCACAACAGCATTATTACTTGTACATACATACAGAGATAAAGCTATTATCTTTATCTTGTCTTTTTCCCCTTCATACCTGTGGTTTAATGACTTCCTTCTTGCAGTTTTCATTCAACCAGGCAACATCTATTTCACAGTCAAAATGACCAACATTGCAAATAATGGCATCATTTTTCATCTGCATAAAGTGTTCTTTATTGATGATACCACTGCAGCCAGTTGCTGTTACAAAAATGTTGGCTTTTGGAGCAGCTTCCTCCATTGTCACTACTTCAAATCCTAAAAAAATAACAAAGGTTTAAAAATTTTTTACTTTTATTATTCCAGACAACGAATCCTCCACCAGCTTCTGAGGACTTCCACTTTTCAGTAATACAGTACATAATTTATTAATTTTTTCCCTTCGCATTACAATTATTAAGTTTTATTAAGTTTAGAAATGATAGAAAAAGATTACAAACTAGCTAGTAAGTCCTGGCAGAATTTTTTCAATTAAGTAAAATAAGTTTTGAAATACCCAGGGCTTTAATTTCAGAATAAGCTGGCAGCCACCAGAGCTGTGGTGGTTACTTTGAAGTTAGCTGCTGGTTACTTTTCCTTTTCTATTAAGATTTATCATTAATCTATCAGATTACAGCCAGCTTCTTTAGACTTATGACCACCTACTCCTAAAAAGATCTGAAAACCCTGATAATAGGAGAAGGTCACTATGACATCATTTTAAGCCAGAAAATAATTATTATGCTCAGTTACCAGAGTATTCTGACCCTTAATGAAGACCTTGAGTAATGGAACATTAATTATGTTGACTCAAGGTTCACCAAGAGCAGACTAGCCAACAGAATGGTCTCAGAGAACTATTATAAGAATTAATTTCTTAAACAATTCCCATTAAGACATGAAAACAGGGACAGTAGAACCGGGGGTCCGCATGCCTCCCACGAACAAAATATTGGTTCACATGAAATATAAATGCATAGATTCAATTTTTAATACTGTTATTAAGTTGTTGTGATTTTTTCCATTCCCCCCCCCCCCCAAAGATTTTCAGCTTCCGCCACCCCTGGAAAAGTAGTTTTTTCAGGAAGCTTATTCCTCACCTTCCATGGCTGCTTGTAGAGCATTAATAGGATCAATCTCAGTGACAAGGATCCTTGCACCAAATCCAGTCAGAGAAAAAACAGAACCTTTTCCAACGTCTCCATAACCAGCTACAACAACAACCTTTCCAGCCAACATAATGTCAGTTGCTCTCTTAAGTCCATCGACAAGTGATTCCCTGATTCCATACAAGTTATCAAATTTGCTCTTGGTGACAGAGTCGTTGACGTTAATAGCAGGGACCTTCAGTGCACCCTTTTCCATCATCTTGTACAGGTTATGAACACCAGTGGTGGTTTCTTCTGAGAGACCAACAATGCCTTGAAGAAGATATAAACCAATGTAAGAAATTTTAAATTCTGTTTTACAGGGTTAGCCCTGCCTTTGTTTGGAATCATTTGGAATATTTATCTTTTTCAGTCAAGATCTGTGTTTGTATTGTTGAAGTTAGGCTAAGCCAGAGTAAATTAAGTCATTAATCGAGAAACACAGTGGTATTTGACTAATTTATAATGACCAATTTAGTAATATTTTGCAGCAATATTATCTCACAGAGTTTCAGACTCCTTCTTATTCACTATTGGCATTCAACACATTCACACACCAACAGATGCCAATGCAGCCCAAACATAGTAACCACTAGTCATTGCTCAGTGTTAGTCAAACTAGCAGTCTTGACAAAATACCATCATAAAAACAATACTTAGGAAAGTCAGTATTTGTTATAAAGAAGTCACTCAAATGTGAGATCAGGGATGCTTTGGTCACCACTGTCTTAAATCTGCCCCTCTCTGGAGACAGTACTTTATAGATGCAAAATGAACATGAAGCTTTCCTACTCACTTTCTAAGTATTGAGGGTACTTTTCATGGACAATGTTTGTCAAGTCACCACCATCATCCAAGATCAAGTTCAAGGGTTTGCCATCTGAGAAAACCAGGGTTTGTTCAATACACCAGATGTATTCCTCATCAGTCTCTCCCTTCCATGCATACACAGGGACTCCAGTCTTGGCAATAGCAGCAGCAGCATGGTCTTGTGTAGAGAAGATGTTGCAAGACGACCATTGAACCTATCAAAAGCAGAAAACATAAATGTATTAATGCATTAATTCAAAATAAAGAAAAAAATCATCCTTGTCTTAGGAGGGTAGAAAATTATAGCTAGTGGCTAAGAAACCTGTGGCTCTGATTCCATAATTCATATTCAAATTTAGAAAAGCTGTTTTGGAGGAGGAGGGATATAAACCAATAGCGCAGCGCAACCGTGACGTCATAAAAACGAAGACAAAGGCAAAATTCAGACAAACAATCTTACAAGTTTACTTTCAGCAGATAGTTTTCACAGCCAATCGCAGTTGATCTTAGTTTACATGGGTTATTATTGTAACTTTAAGTAAAAATAATAAAATCGGTTCGTATAATCCTCGTAACGGTTAAACAGAATGCAATGTTTGTCCGAATGCTATTTTTAGAATCAGTGCGTTGGCTATTCAAGATGTCCAGTAAAAAACCCTTAAAAAGACTATAAAACCAGGTTCACTATACCATGAATAATCTCAGTGTAAAAAGATTTTGGATTTTGCTTTCATAGTGAAAGAAAAATAAAATATGAACAAAAAACTCTGCTAATTGTGGATAGTACTTTTAATGCAGGGCTTAAAATAACAGCTGTACATCGGATGTCTACCCAGAATTGGAACTTGTGTGCTAAAATCTTTGCCTTTCTGGTCACTTTGACCAGTAACTTTAAGCCAGAAACTAGGTATGACCAAGATATAAATAATTTGGCCAGTCATCATGACATTATTTTAGCCCTGTAATGTGCACTTGCTCTTACCTCAGCTCCAAGTGCTGTCAAGGTCTCAATCAATACAGCAGTCTGAATGGTCATATGCAGACAACCCGCGATTTTAGCTCCTTTCAGAGGTTTGGAGTCACCAAACTCCTTACGGAGGGCCATCAGTCCAGGCATCTCATTTTCTGCCATTTGAATCTCCTTGCGACCCCAGTCAGCTAGGTTTATATCAGCTAGACAGAAAAAGAATGATATCAAGGCTGACACAAGTGAAAAATGTCTGCTCATGCTCTGAATCCGTATGCAAATTAGGCAAAACATAAGTAAATTTGACTTTCAAACATGCCTGATAAATTGGACTTCACAAAATGCCAAAACTTAGTGCCCATGCTTGAACCTAATAGACCTATCCCAAATTCACTTGACTGACCACGAAACAATGGTTTGAAGTCGAGACTGAACTTGATTCTTTTATTCATCAAGTTCAACCTCGACTTGAAACCATTGTTTCGTGACCAGTCAAGCGAATTCTGGATAGGTCTATTCTTTCATATTGTGTTCGTTAAGACAGAACTTTTTTGCATACTTTGAGAAAACAAACATTTATTTTCTCACTCAAACTCTTCAAAATTCTTAGGGAACGTGCTGAAATGCAAGCATGCGCAATCGTTTCTCTCTAGTGTCATCAAGGCCCTTGTAACATAATATTATACTTGCATTGTGCAATCATATTTCCTGGCCATTAATCTCTGCAGAGAATGATCATTATCAGTCTAGTCAATAGACCTCTTACACGAATTCCCTATCCTGGATTCAAAGCAATTACGTTTTCTCCTCTTGAGATTAGAAAACATTTCTTATGTAAATTTTTTAAATTGTCTTGTCCGCCACATGATGTCACACACGAGGGGGGTTTACTAGTTATATACGAATGTGCATATTAGCTTCCTTCAATGCACAAAAGACATATTTAATCATTTTTATCACAGATAATTTTTTATCCAACACACATACCAATAAAAACTTCATTTATATGTAAAACAATAAAACAAAACAGAAATATTTGTAAAAGCTGCCACGTTCAAGGATATTTCAAGGTTCTAAATTACATAAGCTTATGCAGAGGCTAAAAATGTGCAAAAAAATTAAGACTCCTTGCAGATAGATCGAAGCATGATTTTAGCAACAATATACTCCGTGCCGATGAGTTTAAGTACAAGTCAGTAAGAAATCATTAATATAGTCTACCCGGGTGAAGAACTCTTGAGTAATTACAGACAGAAATATATACATGTAAATGTACAACCGATTGAAGCGCATCAAGGCAATTCTTAATATTATCCACGTGGAACTTTCAGAACATTTCATCAGATTTATCCCGATTTATCACCAAAATTTCTATCATCAATACTTACCAACTTTGTAAGGCAACTTTCCTGCTTGAGACATTTTGGAGTTGAGAAGTCGTAGACGGAATAAGGGACTAAAATTGTAATGGTTTCGTAATAGAATGCTACTTTGTGGACAGTAGATTGTGAAAGAGAGCGATCCTTGAACATTGGCCGCCTTTACAACCGGCGTACCATATATGGAATAAGGACTAATAGAAGACAGGTTTTGATTGGTCAAGCTCGTATCTCCTGATGCACGTGCCCGATCAGGGYCATTCCCAACCGTACCGAACAACACCCACTAATATAACAGCAGGCAGCCCATTCCAAGAAAAATGTAACTTCCCCAGGCGACATCTCTCAAGGCAAAGTATTTGATAGGTGTTTTAGATATGCTTTTTTAATAATTCAATATATGTTTAAAATAATCAAACTACCAATCACTTCTCCCTCGTGCAATATTCATGTTACTATAAATACATCTGGTCTATTGGCTGATGTTTGGTGCATACTCCTACCACAGGAAGCCCATATAGACCAGGCGTATTTATTGTAACATTAGCTTTTATTTATTTTTTCTTCACATTCAATTCTCAATGCTTGTATGGGCTTCCTGTGCTCCTACGATGATGATGGATTTTTTGAAGATCCTGACCATCAAATACCTTTTAATTCTCATATTTGACACCATTAATTAACGCTGACAGCGACAAATCCATATAGCAATTTGATTGGTTGAACAGAGCCTTTGTTTGTGCACGCCATGTCACATTTTGATCGGGGATTCTCTCTAGATTACCATGGTCCCACATGCCAAATATGCAAATTTCACGTTAGAGCTTTTGATTCCCAGGGTCACGATCATGGGTTTTGGACAGTTTATAGGATTTCATGAGGCAAGGATTACGGTAAACAATGAATAAAAAATTCCTTTCAGAACCTGGACTTTCAAGATGGTCTTCCAACTCCAATTTGGTTTTCAATCAAGCCATAGTCGATGGTGATTTAGCAAAGGTCAAGTTTCTTTTAAAATATTGTGGACAAAACTTGGGCATAAACGACGAAAATAATAATGGTTTGACACCGCTTCAACAAAGCTGTCTAAATGGAAACTTACATATAATCACTCAGCTGTTGGACCATGGGGCTGATCTGGAAAGAACTAACGATGAAGGGCAAACTGCGCTTCACATCGCTGTCATGACCAATTCGAGGAAAATAGCCAAATTTCTCATCGATTCCTGCGCTGACATAACAGCGATGGACAATAAAGGAAGATTTCCCATCGAACTGGCGGCTGATATCGATATGTTGGTTTTCCTAGCCAAGGAAATGACTGCACAGGGATATGAAGAGACAGCGCGTTTATATATGGAAAAATGGGGCCTTGTAGCTCCGAGATTAGACGAAGATGATGACGAACCACTGTCTCCAGTCTCTTTTTACGAGGACTCCAACTCGAGTGATGGCACAGAGTCAAAAGAAAAAATGGATTTCACATAGAAAATCCCTCAGAATTTTATTACAAATCGAGATGAATTCATATATATTTTTAACATAAATTTTTTTTCAGGTTTTTAATTTTAATAATACTAGTAAAATGCATACCGCAATCGACGATGACTCATTTGCGTCGCACACGTGTGTCACGAAATGGTTTCCTGTTTTCTTCCATAGTGTAGTATTTTTATAGTATTGACAAAATAATGGCTGACCAATTTGCGACTCTAGGTCGATCGTCAACTCTAAATGTTTAAATTTTCTAAAATTCTCTCATACTTCCAAATGTTTTAAATCCTAAAATAAATTGTGGTTTGCATTTCGGCTTGATTTAATTATGCAAATGTACTACAACGATTCACCGCATTTGTCTACATTTTTACTATAATTATCTACGGTCTCCCGGCTTTGAAATAACTGCGAAACTTTTCAGTCTTATTTTTCTCTTCGTTTTAGTTCCTTTTACAATATATATTTCGGGTTTAATTTTCAGTTTGTTTTAACATTTCTTTTTCAATTTCATTCTCTACTTCCTTTTCTTCGCCTCTTTATTTGAGTCAATTCCAAAGGTTCTGATCCCCCCCCGGGCATACCCCCGGCATTTGACCATAGTCAAGTTCCGTAGAGTGGGGAATTTGACGCTGAATATAATGTCCGAACGGGCGGGCATTTGACTTTTGACTAAATATAGCGGCCTTATCTAATTTGCATAATGCCGATTGCCGCGTTTTTCGGATAGACCTTTTAATTGGGCTGGGTCGCAAGCCTTAGAAATCATGTTTGGGATCCTATGAAAGGCTGCACTGTCGTAGCTATTCCTGCCATGAAATCTGTCAAAGACCGCGACGTCGATTTTGTCCCGAGAGTCTTGCAGAATGAGAGGTGTAACCACGCCCTTTTGATGGCATATATGATAAGGGCTAGATCTAATGCCAGTAAACGAATTGAAGGTTGTCAACGAAGACGGGCAGCTCGTGCCAGCTGGCCAAGTGGGTGAAATGTGCATCCGATCACCAGTTATGAAATCATTTCTCGGATATATTGACATTCCCGAAGAATCAGCGAAGATCATTTCGCCAACAGGTTGGATCCATACGAGCGATATGGGTCTCATTCAGGGGCGGATCCAGGAATTTGTTCAGGGAGGGGTGCACTGCACAAAGTTAACCCAGGGAGGGGTGCACCCCTTAGAATCAAAGGGGAAAAACATTATTTTGCATTGGTTATCTTCGAAGTAGGGGCACAAAGTTGAACCAGGGAGGGGTGCTCACCACCTGCACCCCTCCCTTGGATCCGCCACTGTCATTGATGATAAAGGCGAGCTAATAATCAAAGCAACACAGAATATTTTCCCTGCTGAGTTTGAAATAGTATTAGCTATTAAGTACCCGGATGTTAAAGAAGTCATAGTAGTTGGTGTCCCGGATGACCTGTTGTTTGAAGAGTTGTGCGCATGCGTCACTCCTAAAGAAAATAGCACTTTGGAATCGGATTCAAAGGCCTTTGAGGATTGGATGACTCGGCAATGGACACCGAGAAAAACTGGAATATAATTGAAGCCTAAATATCTCCTCTTTATGATAGAATTTCCTAAAACTTGTACAGGCAAAACAGACCGCAAAACGATCAAGGCTACAGCCATGCAAAAGCTACATTTGCGTTACTTGTCACACTCTTTGGACGAATAGACTTTGAAGTGACTCCCATGGCTCCTTGAAAAGAACAAAGATGTAGAGCAGGGGAATGCAGGAGCCAATCTAGGGGTGTTTGGGCGGGTTCGTCCGAAGCCCCTAAACCGCAAACGAACCTTTTACTGAAATGAGAAATACAAACATTCTTTCTATATGATATTCTTTCTTTATGATATTGAAACCCTAAGTGACAATAACGACAATAACAAAACAAACAAATAAGAAAAAAAGACTACTTAAGGGCTTACAAGTCATTGATGATTCAGATAAGTAGTATGGTCCAGCACCGTAATAAAGTCTAGTAATTAAAAGGGTGGAGGTACCGGCACCATACATACTGTTTGGGACGGTTAATTAGGATTTGTTATTCATAGCATGTTTATGCTTTGTTAGTTAAGAGTCCAGTATATATATATATATTTTATGATGGTCTAGTTTCGTGTCAATCTTCCTTGGCTTTGTGTGTGGTCTTGTTTTGCTTGGGTTTACGATGGTCGTAGTTGACGAGTCGCTGACCCACGAGATACCTTGAGAAAAGAGAGAGAGAGAAATAAATACATACTAGTTGTTGCATATTCAAGTACGGAGCCCATTTAGGGCCATCGACTTTTCTTTAGCTGGGCGACTTTTTTTTCAGTGGTTAACTTTTTTTAAAACTTGGCCGACTTTTTTACAACTTGGCCGACTTTTTTTCCAGTGGTCAATTTTTTTAACTTAACTATGTCGACTTTTTAACTTGGTCGACTTTTTTGAGTTGGTCGACTTTTTTAAAGTTGGTCGACTCTTAACGTAATCGACCATTTTATACTATAATAGAGTGTACTGCACTAAACTACACTGCATTACTCTGCACTACTCTGCACTACACTGCACCACGCTGCATTAGACTACATCATACTGCATCACACTACATCTAACTGCATCAGGATATTAACTTTTGAAAAAAAGTTACCTAAAAGCACCCTATTGCAGTGTAGTGTAGTGTAGAAAGACGGGGGGGGGGTGTTCAATGCCCCTCCCACCACCATTCCCAAACTATTTGTACTGCTACACAGGCTACATGTTCTCCCCCCCCGGAAATTGACTTACTTGTCGTTCTTGATGCGTTCGTAAAGTCGTTGAAACTGTCTTCCTTGAAAAGCCAAGCAGAGAATGACCGATATGACAGCCAGAAGGAGAGGGTAAATACGACGCAGACAGTAAAGTCGTGTGTCTTCTGATTTGACTGTACAATGAAGAACAGAGATATACTTTAGGATACGTCCTATTTCGATTAAAACAATGTGAATACAACTCTCAGTTCACACCATATTGATTCTTATGTTATAACCAAAATAACATATCAGAAAAAAATATGTGTCGTGAGCTCAAGCAAGTATCTTAAGAGCAACGAGATAGTGCTACCTGTCTTTGCAACATCTCTTGGTACAATCTGGCGCCAGTAATAATTATATAAACTAATTACGATTTTGAGATGACAATACCACGAAATATTGAAGGCTAGCTGGGAGAAAATATATTCGGTATTGGGCGGAGTCGCGAACGCCCAATAGCGAATCAGTATATTTTCTTCCAACGCCGTCAATATTGTCGTCTCAAAATCGTGATTAGTTTTGTATCGCGATTCACGAGCGCGCGCTATGGCGCAAGCAACAAGCGTAAAAATTTTAGCCGTGCTAAAATTCCTTTTCGTTGCGCGTTAGCCAATCAGAAACTTTAATTTTGAAACAATACCACAGAATATTGTCGTCTCAAAAATATAAGGAGCTATTTAGTGAATCGCGATACTTACTTATATTACAGTGCAACTACTGTAACCAGGGCCACCTAGACAGCAAGAATATCTAACATAAAGGTCAAATAATTAACCTCGTGCAGTCTGATTGGCTCAACTATCCAATATCGGAATGCATTGTTTTCATTCTACATTTTAATTGGTTAGCTGTGTAAGTGACCCCGGTTATAGTAGTTCCCCTGTAATTATCATTCTAAGTAGTAATTCGAAGTATTAGTGGCTGTAGCATATGCATACCCCAAAATCTTGGGAATGCTAACCTTTTTCCAAACATTCATATATTATTAGTAATACATACTTTTGCATTAAGTGATGGACTTACCGAATATCGGTATAATCCCAGCTGCAAGTACGTAAGGTACAGTAAGGGCGAGCAGTAGAGTTAGTACCACAGGTAAGGCAAGTTTGCGCAGGATGAGAAAGGTGTTGATGTTGCGAATGCCATCGTGGTAGACCTGATAAACATAATAACATCTTGTTCATTCAAACCCATTGCAGTTAAAAAAAACTGAATTACAGGTTGAAAATACACGAAAGTTATTTCACACTTTAAATATGAAGCAAGGACAAGCCCTCGAACCAATGGGGAGAACAACAAACACAAGCAAGACAGCAACAAACTCTGCTCAAAGCTGATACCGAGCACTAGAAACGAGGCCAAGACCGCAATAGGTGAGAGGCGAGTGCAGTACGACTACACCAACCATCCCCTGCGCATAACGATTCTTCATTTTTTAAAACCCCTGTTGCAAAAACTATGCCAAAGCCCTCGTCTGGCACATGATCTATCGTAAATCAACTACTTAATCCCAATTGGATAGCATGGGTGGCGTACGCTGCTAACGCGTCGTCTATCACCACTGTGGTTCCAAAGGTTCGGGTCACTGGTTCGACACCGTGTGCGAATTGAGTTAGTTTGGTGCCAGGTGATGTCGGAGAACGCGCGCAAAGGATTGTTGTAGTTGATCAGGCGGTCCTAGTTTCAGTTGTTTATCGGCGAACAAAGAGCTATCATTTCACGATAATTTCATTACAAAATTGAAACCACAATGCCCCATTTGACCCATAGGTATACCTCATAAGTATAGGTAGAATTTCAAAATGTATTGCTAGTCCATAACGTAGCTAGAGAAGCAAAGATTCAGAGTAATTTTTTCTGACTTCGATCGCTGCCTGAAATCAAATTAAATTAAAATAAAATTTCTCTTACCTGCTCAAGGACTCTCTTGAGCCACCAGTTGGGTCCCATCATTGTCACAGCACAAATGATTTTCATATGAAGAACACCAAGCGCCCAATCCTGATAAAACAAGTCAACAAACCATTCGTACAAACAACAAAACAGAAGCTTGGTTACTCTATTTGTTACTTAGCCTCATAATTCTCTATGACGCATAGGTCATGAGATTCTGCAGCAGCGTCAACGACAGTCAGCTGAACAGACTTACACCATCACGTGATAGCAGCCATGACAGGGGAGACAGGAATATGAATCTGGTCAATTCTTGTCTACACGAAAAAAAATTCAGTTTTACCAGGAGGATAAAACTATGTGTTTTGCCTTCTGTCATGGATGCCATCACTTGATAGTGCGAAACCTCTATATCGAATGTGGTAAACTGTGGCACAAATTATGTACGAAAATCTTTTTGAGTTTTGGCCATGATGCCTGAAAGCTGAAACCAAACCAGACGAGAATGCATCCTGTTCATCGTCCTCAGGAAACATTAATTGCATATGTCTGTGTGAGGTAGAGCTAGAGTCCCATGGTGGACTAAAATTACTAATATTATCTATCCTCGTCGCGTATATTTGAATTTCTCAAGCTAGCATGGGTATAAAAAGTATACGCATTGCAAAAGATGTCTTCAGCTTGGGTATAATGTTTTCAGACCATTTGAGAATAAGATTCTTGGTTTTAACTGTATCTATATTCATATGTCTTCTCATTTCTAGCTTTTAAACAAAGTTGATACTCTAGAAAATGACACGTGGTCTGAAATGAGAAAACATTACGCCCAAGCAAGAGGTCTATAGCACTACATTGTACTCACCTGCCAAGGGAAGTATAGTGGTGTTTGATCGTACGGAACGCGCAGAGGAATCACCACGATAAGTTCGAATAACAAACCAAGAAGGAACGGAACGAGACCAATGAGAATGGCAGCAATGAAAACACACTTTAGACCCTGCAGAATACAATTGAGTATTTTAAGAATACTAGAGCAAATAATATGTCATAAAAGACATAGTAACAAAGATCTTGTCACAGATGTTATAACCAAACTGACAGGGTCTCCAAAGCCAAAAATTACATAGGAATTCAGAAGAAGTTGATTCTTGTAGAGTTACTTGTTGGTTCTCTCTTGTTTTTCGAGGGTTTTTCTCCGGTTTCTCTGCATTTCCTCCCTCCTAAAGAAGTCAACTCCTAAATTCCAATTCGATCATGCAACGAGGGCCACACCCTCTAAAACACGGTCGGTTTTATGTCCTTTCATTCTCATTGGAATGGATCCACACCACCAATAAGAGAGCGTGTGTTTACCTCTGAGTCATGCATGCACTTACCAGGAAGATCCAGTTACCAACTTTCTCCACCATTCCTCGTATCCCTAAAGGTATCCACGACATGGTCACTACACAAAGCCTGCACACAAGCCAAATGAAGTACAGACCACAAGCAGCTGTATATAGCTCGTGCACTGGTAGGTTACCCATCCACAAGGACATGATTGCACGTCCAATAGCCACTACAATAGTAAAGAAAACAATGTCAGTCTAAAGAGGTGACACGCGTGTAACTGTCGCTTGTAACGTTACTGGTGACGTCTACGGAACTGTATTTGAAGAGCAATCCTGGCTCGCACAGCACAAAAGGCGCATTTTTTATTGCTGATGAGTGACACACGGTGTAGCTGTCGCGTTTAACGTTGCTGACGAAGTCTACGGAATTGTTTTTGGGGATTTCAGATGTAGCAATCCCAGCCAGCAAAGCACAGAAGGCACATTCTATTTAACTAAAAACTTAACACCTTTGACAGCAACGTCAAAGGGAACCAGACGACTGACGATATATGAGAAGACCACCTTCAAGTCAACACTATCGCGTGCATGATAAAGACTAGCAGTAGCAGTCGAAACATCGCGGTCCTAGCCTCCCAAGTGCCACAATCGTTAGACAAATGAAAATAAAAGTATAATCTTTGAAAAGATTCGGTCTTCTCAAAGTTTATTTTCGAAACATTTGTGGCTTGAATTCTTAAAACATTTCACTTTTCTAAAACTAGTTGCCTATAAACTTAAGGGTAAATTACAATTTCCTAAGAGAAAATAACTTATTCATAATTGTCTAAAATAGAAATTCTTATTTATCTGAAGCGAGTTCTTTCAAACATTTTAGTGGCTTCAATGTCACTCGCAGAGATAATATATTCATTCACACGAATTTTTAGGCGACTTGGTGAGCTTCAAATCAAAAGTACAAAAACGTGTGTTTTCTTTCTCCAAACAGCAAAGTAATGGCTCAGAAAATTAGGATTTTGTTTTCTAACACTAGTTTCCTATAAGCTGGAGCGGTAAATTACGAT